AGGGATCCCCGGCACAGGAGCCGGGCGATGCAAAAGCTGTTGCCAGCTGACGGGGGCAACACCTGCCTGCTCTCGAAAGCGTTACGCAGCGAGACGTATTTTATAGACACGGAACATTCAGCCTCTCTCATTAGCCTGACAGTAAACGTCCGACATTTAAACACATCGCTGAAGTTAAAGATCATTTGTGATGCATTAGCAGCCACTTCCTCCTGTGTTCCGCGCATTTTACAGCGAACATGCAAGCTTACCCTGGACATAAAATTAATCTTTGCGCATTGCAAAGAAAGACACCCATTAAGGTGAATCATGTGTTAATCATTATTAAAAATCTGAACAAAATACACCATATATTTTCCTTCGGTGGTCATGACTATTTACTTACTGATGCTACTGGTAAAAACCAAGGTTTCCGTCAAGGCTGTAACACATCATAATTCACCCTGCACATGGTGTAAACTAATTAACTCTAATATTATGGTGCTGAAAAACACTTGTGGTGCTAGGAAGAGCTAAAGATCTCCAAAGTTCCTTATGTATTTGGTTATGAAATACAGAATTTCTGACCTCTTAATTGAGAAATTTTCTCCTTCAGGCATTTTATTGCAAGAATTTTTTATAGACGCTTACAGCAACTGCAGCCAACAACATCCATGGCAGCATAAGCAACCTGCCAGCCTCTGCTCCCAGAGCACAGTAACACTGCTCCACGCTGCTTTAGTGACCCCGCTCCTGTCTTTCAGATACTGCCAAAAGGAAAAGGACAGCCAGGAGACCGATCCGTAGCCATTCCATGCTGTGCTTACAGCCACCTCGTCTCTTGTTTACGCCTTTTTGGGCGAGGGCCGCGTCCGCAGGCCTCACCGCAGACATACGTGAGCCGTGCAGCGGCAGCGGGGCTGCTCCCCTGCACCCAGGTACCCGGGAGGCAAACACCGACGGACGCAAGCTGTCAGACAGCCCCGCCGCTCCGTGCGGTTTGTTACAGCGAGCCCACTGTGCTCAAAGCAGGACCGTGTCCTATCACCCTAGCAAGGCTTTTGCAGGCTCGGATGCCTACATTTGCCACAAAAAACCCCTCAGCATGTGATTTCATCGTGACTGCCCGGCGCTGGCAGGTTCCCCTGAAGCATCCGCCGCTGCCAGCTTGACATGGGGCTGCTTGGCAAGAGAACAAGGCAGGGCTAATGAAGAGGTATGCAGCTGCAGACACCACTGGAAGAAGTTAACTCCCCTTTAGCTTGGGATCACCAAGAGAAAAAGACCTGGTGTTGCTTAAACGGTGACAACAGGCACGACCGGGCAACAGGCTGCGGTAGCACAGCTGTGCGGGACACAGAGGCAAAACCCATTATCTCCAAATCGTGTAATAAACACCCTTTCATTTTTGCAGAACATACACATTAACAGTATTGATCTAAGCCTGTACCCTATAAACATGTTATACTACACACGTTCCTACAGCAAAGCAGCTACGTAGTGTTACTCAGTCTTCAATACCTGACCGAGACCCCAGCACACATCCCGAAGCACTTAACACGCTACTGGAAACAAGCGATTAACTCCTCCTTAGCAAACATTAAGCAATCCTCAGAACGAGC